ATTATGATAAAATAAATTAAAGTAATTTATATTCGACACAAAAGAGGATCTGTGAGATTTACAATGACCACAGGATGCATGGAAGTTGGAAGCAAGATCATTATAAATGAATGATAATAGTAGTAAACAAAGAAACAAATAGGTGAAGAGAGGATTCAAACGATATCCTCTTATTTATGATGTACTGCTACACATACTCTGTAAATTCTGAAGTAAAGTTGACACAAACCTTCAGCAGATTACTGTTGGACACTTTAGGATCCTTTACAGCTTTACTGGCCATTGACAACTGAGGTAGCTCCTCATTATTTATCATCATCATATCCACATCCATATAATTGGGAATAGAAAGAGGTTTAAAATTTCCTTCACCAGCCGTTTTTGCAAGCACACCTTTCCTTGTCCTGTCTTGGTTCAAGTGAATTTCCTGTGAAGACAGGTTGTTTTCCTTCCCGCTCAAATTAGAGTAAAGCTGGTTATTACTGCTTTTAAAACCTACGAGTGAAGAACTTCCTCTCTGATCGGATTTTTTAGGTCTCAATTTCAGCACATCATTAGGTGTACAAAAATGTTCATCACAAAATCGATTCATGCTACTTAGATTTTGACTTCCATAAGTTGTTGATGAAGCGGGAACAGATGCAGGGTTTGGTAGATTTGTTAGGAATCCATCTTCCCAACTGTCACTATTGCTAATACTCAAAGGAGAACCCCCTGATGCTCGCATATCAGGTCTAGTTGATTTCTCAACTGAAACATTATGAACCTTCGATGAACTGGACACTGAATTTTGTCCTACCACATCAGATAAAGCAAGCATTTCAGCCAAAACACTTGAGCATTTACCACAGTCTACTGTCTCCTTAGAGTTACCAGCCATCTTCCAGTTCCCAGAGAAGTTTTTTCTAGCTTCACTTCTTATAAATTCAGTTGAAGGAGCTAAGGCAAAACATATGCTATTCCAGTTATTAAAATGGTTGGATGATCCTTCAGGGCTGCAGAAACTCTTCATGTCAGAGATATTGCAAGAGCTGTCTTCCCTGGAGAATCTGTTATACTCCACAACTGGTATGCTCATCTTACTGCTGCTTACAGACTCTCTCAGTTCTGTAATCTCTCTATCTAGTTCTCTGGAACCTTTATTCTTGCAATGAAAAGCTTCCGAGTTATGGGAAAAGTTCAGCCAATCCCTTCTTCCAATGTTGGCCTCTCGAAACCCAGTTTGAGCGGATGGTCTTATGTGAGAAAACTTCAAATTCTCAGGGGTTCTTAAATGAACACTTACACGGGATTTATCAATGTTATGCTTCAAAGGAACAATATGATTAGGATGGATGCACTGGTAATTGTTGCTGGCAAACCGTGCTAACTTATGTGAAAGAGAATCATTCTGAACCTTGAGAAATCGACTAGCCTTACCAGCAATGGGTATCCGAAAAGAGCTAAAGACACCATTTTGCATATGAACAAACCTGTCCGTCTTCTTCTTCAATGAACGATATACTTCACCACTTTCTGTCTTAGCACCATTTGATGATTTGAAAATTGTTTTCTTGCTTGTTAAATGAGAGGGTGCAAGCCGCTTTGAATCATGGAAATACTTTCTGAACAAGAAATTGGGTTCCTGGAAGACATTTAGAAAATTATGCTCAGTGCAGTCTTGGTTCCCCAACTCACTGGTAAATTTTTCAGAAATTCGAAGTGATTCATCACTTGGAAGATGCACTGCATCCAATAAATTTTGGCCAAGAAAGCTTACATCACTTTTCCATTGTTTGCTTGCATTAAGCTTGCGTTGTTTTAAACTTGGCAATGCACTGCTATCTGTTTTTGTCCTGTCCCTCTCAACTTTCGGTCTTTGAATGACTTCATAGACATCCTTAAATTCTTGGTGCTCAGCCATGCTCATCCGAGGCAAACATTCCTCCCTGGTTAGGTACTTCTCTTGCAAGCCTGTAGATGGTATATCTTGAAAATAACCATTTATTGTCTTCTTTCGTTTATGGGCTACTTGTACAGGTGGCTGTTCGTCAAGACCCATTAATTTTGCAATTACACTAGGCGACGACCACCTTATTTCTGCTTCTCTTGGTATCTCTTTATCCATGGGTCTCTCTCTTGGTTTTACACTGGTATTATATGAGCCTTGGCCTGACTGAAGAGCAAATCAGAACCATCAGAATGTTTTAACAAATAATATAGGTGTCAAAAGTTGAACACGTGTCCAAACACACAAATCAGACAGAGAAGAAAGATCCTCTCTTTTTTGTTCTCAAGTTAAGGGCTTTTGTTTTGGGCGTGAGATGATTGGATCTGATATCAAGTCTCCAGTACAAGTAACGAGAGATTTTTACAGCATCCATCAAGAAAACTTGAGATAACATCAAATATTGCTGAAAAAAAAACATCATGCTTTTTTATTAAACCACTATGACATCCATTACAGCTATCTGGATATTTCAAAATTAACCTTAAAAAAAGTAAAATATCCTATGTTTTTTCTTTAAAACTCTTTGCATGTTAAATGCATGAAGATATGCAGATCCTCTTGCAAAAGGCATTCATGTTCCAGCGCACATGCAGCTCTTCGAAGCAATATTAGATTAAGAAGGAAGAGTGACACTTACAGAACTTTCTTCTTTTCGAAAGCTACTGCTGCAATCAGAACCATATTCTACGCCAAAATCATTCCTTTGGCCCTTTAGATAACCGCATCCTGAAAATAAATTAAAACTAATTGAAGATGACTAGTAGCCAAATATAAGTTCAAACAAATGTAAACATTAATCGCTGTCCTCAGACAGCTCTGAATAACTTACGACAGGCATTGGAGATTCAGAACATGAACCAAATTATGAAAAAGATTTAGTCTCAAGGCGGCATCGATGCAAAATACAAACATCAATACAGAATCGGTCATTGATGCTTGAACTATTTAGCTTAGTAGCGGTATCTGAAAAATATGTGGAATTATTTAGCTTAGACGCGGAAAGGGACTCAGCTGCTGCAAAAGCTTTGCTGGGAGTAGTTATTGGTTCTTCGGTAGGGATAACTAACAGCAATTCATCCAATCAATAGCAGAACTCTCAAGTTAAGGAAAGACTACAACAAAAACACAAACGAATTTAGCTGTGCTTCTGTGCGTAGACATGTCTCGTCAACAGAAACGGCCCATATGGCTATCATCGGTGAACTCTATGCTTAGCAAACCCGAAACAATGGGGAAGAAGAAGCCATATGAAGGGGGACCTCAATTAAGAGAGCAAAAAAGATCCTGGTGGAAAAAGGAATCAAGTTTGGACGATGATGATGATGATGATGATGGTGATGAATGATTCAAAGTATCAGCCGTGGTACGAACTTCACGCAGATGAAGCAACACAGAATCTTCAGGTAACCTTAAGAACGAAACACATCGAAGAAGAACTACTTGACAACCTGCACCTGCAGAGATTTCGCATAAGTACTCTGACAAACTCCTGCTATTGAAATCAATCATCTTGAATTAAGAAGAATCAAATCTTTCTCCGACAGCGAAATTGCTCCGACGCTCCACTAAAAAAGCGGCCCTCCCAAAATTGCCTTTTTATTCATATTTCTCATATGACAGGATCAAAGCACGACCACAAATTGAAAGAAAGCCACAAGTAATCGTCATCGTCAAAGACTCGATCGTTCTGTCCACAACTTACGAAAGCCACGCAGCCACACGCATAGCCAAGAAAAGAAACCGACGAAAAGAGACATAAATACTCGAAGCACGTAAATCCAAACCACCGGGAAGGGGACGGAACAAATCCAAGACGCACCGGGTGTCCGCAACATGCCACCGCCGACCCGATACGCCCTCTTCCTCCGCCGGCCTCGCCGGACTCCTGAACCCTGTTGCGTCCGAAACCAATCCACCTCCATGTCTTCTTCCCTTCCCTTCTCCCATACAAAGAGGACGAGGAGGAGGAGGAGGAGAAATCTCTAGCAATGCCCGCAGATCGCGTCCTCCATGGTTCCTCTTCTCCGGAACAATTCGAGAGCGAATACCAGACTCTACGAATCGTTGTCGAAGGGAGACGCCAGGGAAGAGAGATCAAATCGAGAGAAGAGCTTCGTGATTGGGAACGCAACGTTTGGGGAGGAGGGCGATCGAGTAAACGGCGGCGTGGCGGTGGTTGGGTGTGGCGTGTGGGTACGTGCCTCGTGTGGTACGCTTGTGGGTATGCCACTGTGTCGGGCAAAAATAGAATACACGCATAAGGCAGTGGCGGCTACTTGGCGATGTGAGTGATACGTATTTGGATTCGGAAAATTACACGCAAAAGATCTATGTTGGGATATGGGAATCGCATGCAATAATATGAATGGTGTGAAAAATCTATGTTCAGATATGGAAATAAGGTTTTACTTATTGAATTCCATCTTTTCTTCAGCGTCAAATCCGGAGTTGCCCCCAATTAAGATCTGTTGAGTTCTTAATAAGCACGAGATTATATGGATATAAGTTCTTTAAATATATTCAATAACAAAAAAATGTGAATAATTATCTTTTTCTTCTTTCTCTGGTAATTTTACTTTTTGGCAGCAACACTGCAAATCTCACTGTTCATGTTCATGTTACAATCACATAGAATATTGGTTTGTGGCATTATTTGTGAGCCCAACGAAGCAAATCAAATTGTTTGTATCATTCTCTTTTACTTTCCTTTTTTTTATTGGATCGAAATGAAAGTTCATCAGGCAAAACAAATGGTTCGAGTAATCGTTCGACGGTGTTAACTAATGGTGGAGGAAGCAGCAGCTCATGATGACAAAAGAAACAAGTGTTCCCACATGGAACCACAAGCCACAGAACCCCACAAGCATGAATAGGAGCTGTCTTAAGGATCACAACCACCATGCTTGTTTCTCTTCGCACTGTCAAACACCATGCATGTATATTTCTGTGCTTAACAGATGATAATACTATTAACAGATTTGCAGGGAGCTGCTGCAACGCTCAGTTCATTGAGAAGCAATCACTAATATCACAGATAAAAAGGGTATTTAAAGCAGTAGTAACAGCGCTTGCAGCTCCAAGAATGTTGACAATAACATAGCTAGAATTCCATTGCAACAGCAGGTTAACTGAAAAGATCTTGCAGCTTTATCCCTTGCAATCAGCAGCTACATAACAAAGACGGTCCACGGGAACCATTGTTGCTTGATGTGGAACACTGAATGCCCGAAAAGGGTAAAATGTAAATTCAATCTTATGTAAATGATTCAGGGTAAGCCCCGTCCGCACTGGGTCTTTGTAACTGATGTATCTCAAACATGAGAAGTTGTATAAGTGTAAGCTGTTTAAAAGAATAGTTTCATGAACTCCATGTTCTCAAGGAACCTCTTCTAGACCAAATTTCTCAAGAATTGCTGTTGTTTCTTGTCTTGCACTGTAAACAAAGATAAACAGAATAAATGAAAACCATGTCAATTGTTTGAGGACGACAATCAAGTAATTTATAGAATGTACTTCTAAAATGCTAACACAACCATTATTTCTATGAATAACAGCCTTGAGTTGTAAAAGCCGCTAACTGGCCAGACCTGATAGGTGTTTCTCAACTCTGGTTGCCTTTCAGTTAATTCTAGTCGAGTCTGGCCAATTAGCCTGAATCATGGGTTTAGGTATCAGACTCAACCAATCCCTATCTCAACTGAGATCACTGATCCTCCAAAGCCTTACTAATAACACCCATCTATCTCTCTACATGCATACATATATAACTTCATGCAAGCATATACAGAAATACACCGACAGCAACCAATATGTATGTAATACAAACTGTGTATATCTAACCCAGTATGTCATACACATAATGAAACATCCATAGCATGTGAACTCTCTGCTGGTAGAACCTAGCAACTATGTTGTGCAATGTGCATATAATTGTTATGTTGCACACAAACTATGCATGTAGTGCAAAACTTAGCTGATCTTCCTAATTGGCATAGTTGAATCTGAGGATAATTACTTATTAAATTTGAAAGAATTACCTTCCAGGTCTTAGAATTTTGAATAGTCCTGGCTTTATCAAATCAACTACTGTTGAACCAGCACGGCCAGAAGGAAGCACTCCACCATCATAAACATATGCACAATATTGCCAAAGGTTTTCAAAATCCTTGATACCGACGCTACTGGGCTGTCCACTAAGATTAGCACTTGTTAGAGCCAGTGCACTTCCAGAACCACGAGCAACGGCTCGAATAAAGTTGAAATCAGGCACACGAACTCCAATGCTATCTAAACCTGGATTGAGAGATTTGTCCAATATGCTAGAATCACCTGAAAATTGAATCTGAATGTTACAAAGGAAAATTCATATGATGTTCTGTACTTATATGTAAAATTAGCCAGACCTCGCCTCAGAACAACAGTCACAGGACCGGGAAGGAGGCTGTCAAGCAAACCGTGAGGCAAGTGATCAACGGTGGCAAAGCGAGATATATCTGATACACCAGCAACAGAAATTGCTAGAGGACTTGTCTGCTTCCGTCCTTTAATCTCATAAATTTTATTTACTGCTTCTGCAGAGCTGACAAAAATGCACTTTTAAAGTCCAAAATAATGTTCCCAGGACAATATATTAAGGCATGTGATACAACAGAAAATTTTGAAAATTTGCATACCACTAGAAAATTCTCCAACCAAGTAACTCATAAATGTAAAAGCAGAAACCGTGGCTGCAAAAGCAACAATAACAAGTAACAAATTCTGCATATTCACCTATTCTTTATTATTAACTGTAATAGTTCATTCTCTGCTAAGTATAAGTTTTTCATCCCTCCATTTTGAGGGTTATGCTCAACAGACAACTCCAACACCAATCTTGAAGATTAAGTGGGTGAATTATTTCTCACATCAGTACCAAAATCTGTACCATCTGCTTTATGAAAACCTTGTACCCTTGCCATGAAACCCAATTCCTAGATATTTCTTGGCAACAGTTTGCTTCGATATTGACTAAAGGAAGTAGACATGATCAACAAAGAACAATTTTGTTCATCTTATCATTTTGTTTCTTCAATTCATCATTTTCTTTCTATAGCTTCAATTTTTTCCAAAATTAATCATACTTTTTGTGAACCAGCAATATCCTTTATTTTCATATTTTTCCCTCCTCTCTGCTTACTCATTGCAGTAGATTATGAGTCGCATTTCTTTTCTATTTTCTTAGCATTTGTGTCTTATTCCTTCTTTCCCTACAAAGGGGGAACCTATTGAACTTCATGCATACTAAAATGAAGCTGAATTGTCAGTTTGAGTATCAGTTCGGCATTCAACCAGAAGAAAATTGAAAGCTAGAATGTCCCATGAATATTAAGCAAATGAAGAGTTAAGATGCCAAGAATAATAAAGCGTCTGAAGCTCAACGAAAAAGGCCAGCCCGCTTACCAGGCATCACATGCAAATCCATAAAGTGTATCAGTCGGCACCGCAATAACTTGCTCAGTTTTAATCGCCTCGATTGCTTCTTCAATGCGATCATCTGTTGCTGGAAGGATTACTCCTGCCCTAACCTTAGAGCCTATCTCAGAGTTGTCCACACTTTGCGACATATAGCTCCGGATAGCCCCAGACGATCTCCTCTTCTGAGACAAAAGAGGAAAGCTACTAACCTGAACACACCTGAAACAACAGATACTATCGATAGCAAAGAACAAACATTAAGGAGTCACTACAAAACTCCATCTTTGTCAAAAATTCATTATTAGGTCTTTGCATACTAAAAGGAAGCAAAGAAATATGAAAAAAAAAAGATTAATGCTTTAATATCAACAAGCAAAATAGAGGAATTTGCGCTAAGCGGGGAGAACAAACTGCCTAAATACTAAAAAATTGGAATTTTGAAGATAAAGATAGAAGTCAAAGGCATTAATTCCAACCACGGCTGCTCCAAAACCAAATATTTTGGGAATCATATCTTCAGAAAGTGTTCCTCCAAAGAAAAGGATATAAGAAGAAAAGAAGAAGAGAAAAGCTCTCGAGAGCGCCGAGTTCAGAGACGGACAAACCTATGCGGAAGGCGCCTTAAGACAAAGAGGGGACAAAGAGGCAATCTTTCTATCGTCTTCGCCGACGAAATCATGAGCCCTTCTCCCTATCTCCGATATCAATAGTTTAATTAGTTGCCGGCCGATGACCACGTTCGCCAACGTCCTATAATCTTGGAAAGCGCAAGATCCAGCCACTCATTTGGCATCGAACGGCGGTGGATGGCTCTCGGGGAAGGTAGGGCAGCTGACCGCAAGCTTCTCCTCTTGAAAGGGAGGTGACCTGACCGCGCGTTTTAGTGTTTGAAACCTCCATAGAAGCTCAAATACATTGCGGTGACCCGACCGCGCGTTCCCTATACTTGCGAACGAACAGTTGCCAGGGGTTTTAGGGTTTCTATTCCCGCCTGGGGGTTCTACGATGGCGGAATCGATCTCAAGGTCACTGAGGGACGGTTGCTTGGAAGGAGAGCACGCGCCGGCCCTGACCATCGAAGACTCCCTTGCTTGCCCTCTCGGTTCCCACGTCTTCGATCACTTCCTCGCCAATCTCGCGTCCCAAATCGCCGATGGAACATCTCAAGCACGGTCAGTGCAAGTGCCCCCAGGTAGGGGGATGTAGAAAGTTCGAATTTTTAGGCTTTTACATCATTGCTCACTGATTCTTGGATTAATTGAGGCAGTGGCTTGGTGCTCGTTGCGTTGAATCGGAGCCCGTCGTTCTATATCGATTTGCTAAGGCGCAAGGGGGTAGACGCATCGCTGGTTGATAAATGGTAAGGGTTCTTGGCGCCGAAGTGAAATAAAAGACCTGTATTTACGTTGCTACTTGGAGTGGTATTGGAACGTCATTTGGTATCGGCTTGGCAGCAGGGTTCGGATTCTGGACTGCTACTCGGACCCGCTCGATTGGAAGGACCGAATTCCGCCGTTAATGAATGTTCAAAAGCCCTCTACGAGGGAAAACGTCTCTTTCTTCAGAGATGTGAGGGACATCAATAAGCTGTTGTCTTCAGTTCTTGACCTTGGAAAAGGTATTACCTGTAGTTGGTTTGATGCTCTTAATTTATTTTTCTTGAACCAGGGGTTACATTCGTTCACTCACGACTTCTATTGTCAGGGTTTGTTGGGCAAGGCAAGACTCGCTTTGCAGTAGCTGTTGACCTGGTATGCTCAGAATCTTACAGTAACACATGCTTGATGATAATTAAGAATTGCAAATGAAGGATATACAGTCTGACTATCACCTAATTTTTCATTGGGATCATCCATATTCTGCTTTTTCGTTTCCCAGTTCCATGTGCTCATTACCTGAGTTTCCAGTAAATGTGCAGATTTATGTTCTTACTGTAAGTTATTGTTTGATGTAATCTTTTTCAGGTTAGTAATTTGCTGCGACACACATCATTACCATCAGTTGCAGGCCTACTTAATAATCTTCGCAGCAATGGTATATTCATTTTTATAGTTTTTTACATGGATAATTTTTTTAGAATCTGAAAGCCGATGATAATTGTTGATGTTAATCACTGTTTGACTTTATCATCAAATTAACCTGCTAATTTTGAGAGTTTGGACAGATGTCATGACCATAGTTGATATTTCATGAAAAGAGATTTTTCATGATGTCTGAATGATAGATCAATTTTCTATGCATGCCTAATTGTGATGTCTAATGTTGTCTTGTCTTCTTATACATGGTATAAAATGAATGATATAATCTTCAGAGTATATCTGCCATGTATGAGTTTTTATAAGTAGGAAAAACAGACAAATTTATGCAGAATTTTATCTTTTCTTTGTCGGTAGATTCAACAAATTAGGAGAGACAATAAGTAGCCCAAGAGCAAAAAGGTTTTTTTTTTTTTTGAAAAAGTGACAAAGATTAAATTAGATCAAAAATGGGAAGGAGTGAAGATCGTTAAAACTTGGGCAATTCAAGTGAAAGACAGTCTATTAGTTCTGGCATGGGTGGTGAAGGATAAAACACTCGACAAAATGTTTTGGATAGACCAGGGGCATTCCATCACTTTGTTCAAAACGTTAATGGTCTGGAGGTAATCAGTTTTGACCCAGATGTTGGAGAAGCCTTCCCTTTGAGCTATCCTTAAACATTCCAGAACAGCCCATAGCTCTGATTATGAGACTGGGTGCATTTCAGAATCTGTATTTAGTATGTCAGAATCTCTCTGTGACATGATATGGTTCGTCATGAAGCTAACAACGATGGACGCTTGAAGTTAACAAGGGCTTTGCAGTTGCAGGCTACCATGGTGACACATAAGGAAAGCATTCCAAGTGTATTTATGTGTGTCCACATAATAATTCATTTGAAATGCCTACAGAGATTGATATTGTATTGTTGTCCTATATCTTCTTTTACATATATTGTTAAATGCTTGCTGATTCAAAATTATATAAGGTTCATTTCTTCTGTGTGCACTGACATGAAGTCTGTGAATAGAGCTTCTGGGCTTCTTCATCAATCTGTGAAGTGTGGATAGAATTTCACATCTTGTGAAAGTTTCTTTCTCCATTGTAGTAATCCTTTCTTGTTTGTATATTTTTTGGGTTTGCTAGTAGGTATTCTTTTTCCTGTAGAAACAAATGAAAACGTGCATTAACTTTTAATTTCAGTGAATTGGATACCTTATGTCTATTTTTTATTTGTGATGGAAGTTTGTGAAGTGGCAATAGGTTTATCGTATTCAAACTCTCTGAAATGCTCAAATCACACTTGTCGACATTGTTGCTGCTAAATACTATTGCCATAATTTTCTGTAATATCATTATAATAAAGATGGATACTTGAATGTGGAAAACTTATTGGCTTTTAATTGCAGATCAAATTTCATGTATCTTTTGGTTAATACACTCGGACCTTCATGAACCCAGGGTCTCCACAGCTCTTGCATATGTGTCTACTGTGGTTGCTAGTGTACAGCCAATAATGCAGCTTACTGATGAACATAGAAGTCGACGAGACTTTCTATGGCTTGAGAAGAATTCTTGTAAAGCAAAATTTTACGTACGCCTTAAACGTCGCAATGGGAGAGTGAAGCTACTTGTGGGCTCCCTCATCTTTTGTATTTTTTTATGTTAAGGAACAAAGACTCATATATTCGGAATAATGTGGTATTTAATTTCCAGGCAGAAGAGCTACACATGGATCAAGTTGGTGTTAAATTTGCAGCTGTAACCTCTGAAAATTCATTTGTCAACAAAAGCCTTTTGCCAAAGGTTAGCACCATTTACCTTTTCCTGTCATAGCTTTTGTATCTAGGGACCTGCATGTCCGCTTCTTTTTCACTCTAGATTCAGAATGTTACAAGCTTAAGTGAGGAGCTTCCCCATAGATAACACACTATCCTTCAACAGGTACAGTTCAATCTTCAGCTATCAGATCAGGAACGTGTTGATAGGGCAAAAGTTGTTCTTCCATATGAACATCAAGGTATAGAGCTTATCAAAACAAATTTAATGAATTTACATTTTGTGGCCTTACTATCATTGTTAATCTAGTTTATCTTATTTCTTTATGATGAAAATTTGTCATTTATGGTGCTGGTAAGAAAAAAGTGCATACTGCAGTTGTTGATGATAACCAATTCTATAATTTAAGGAGTCAATTTTTACAAGGTGATGTAGATTTTGATGCATAAGTTGCAGACATGGTTAGATCATTTATGATTGAGTTTCAATTTTTATGCTTAGCCATGTCATTGGGTGACACTAGCAGACTAAAGGATATTGACACGTCCACGAGAACGTTTCCTTGACAATTCATATCTTAAAATGCCCGAGGCTTAGGAAGATAATAAAAAGCTGCCACTCGTTCGGTTGAAGAAAAATAATATGCTTCATTTGCATGTTCTTGTTGTTTGGTGCATTAAGATGTTGGTTCTACATGATATTAGTATGATATGTAGTATTAAAGGTTTCAAATACCTGGTTGTAGGAGCTAAGGGAACAGACTGTTTTGCATGCTTCTCCGTTTTGGTGTTTTAAAGAACTGTAACAATATTAATACTGGATACAATCAGATCCATGTTTTTATTCATGGAAGCTATGTTGACCAACAATTGAACAATGCTACTAATTATTTTAAGCTGCCTATTCTCAACATTTAAATATGACGGTTTGGAAATGGTCAACTAGTGCATGATTGCATTCTGGTTTCTTGTGACACTATTTTCATATCAGGCAATGGTGAGGCCATACAGATCTATGATGGGCGGCGATCTCTTTCTGACGACCAGAAGGATCCGCATTTAGTCCAGCCGTCTACTTTCTCAGTGATGACAGACGCCCAGGCCACTTCTGGGAATGGTGAAATACATTATATTCGTGATTCAGATGATGAGCAACCAGATTCAGATGAGGACCCAGATGATGATTTGAATATTTAAGATGACCCGGATCATCTGATGTTGCTGTGTCTCTTCCTGTTGATCCCAGAACGCACATATCAAATGCCATCATTTCACACGGCATGAGTCTGTAACTCGTCTTCCTTGCTTGTGCAAACTCTGTTAAGACTGGATATATAGCTTTGATAAAGAAAAGCAATTTTGCTAAAATATTGATGCCAATTGCTTTCTGATGGTAAACGTTCAGATGCAAATAAGAAGGTGAAAGTTTGATCCTTGTGTCCTTTTCCCAGTAGTGACATCATCAGCATTTACCATAGCAACAGCATCGTTGGATTTCATCAAATGAGAACAAATTACCATAATCTGACGACGGTTTATTGTTAAATGTATGGCTAATTCAGTGACATTTTATTATTTTTTTCGCGTTGAATTATCGATTATATGTAGTTCCAAAGGAGACTCTCATATATAATTTGATCAATGATATCGACCTAAATAGAAATGATTCGTGGAGCTGAGTTTACGGTTTGAGAGCAATTAGATGGGAGGCGATGGGTTTTGGTCGATGATATGGACCATCTTTCTTTCGCTGTTCGAATGTGTTTTGGAAGAAGAAGGCTTCATTCAACAACAGTTCCTGTTTGTTTTGTGGACCGCGGTGATATTTTAGTCCCACATCGGCAAGAAAAGCGTATCACATCCGGTGACCTCCTTCATAAGGCACGGCCTGCCGATTACATTGTCACGCAGCTGCGTGGTGGGCGCAAAGCGAACTATTCTTTCGCCTTTTACTAAAGAATACCGTGTGCCCGCCACTCGGAGCAGCATACGCCTATTTTTGGAGGGCGATCCTTCGTCGGAGGGTGCCCCGTCAAGCCTAAATCTCAAAATTGCTCCTCTCTTGAGACTAGAGGATATTTTCCTAGTCGTCAAATAAATTATATTTACTAATTTTAGCGAAAAATGTGTAAGGTAAGATATTACTGCATTATTAGGTGAACCGATTTATTATCATGTAAATTATAGTATTTTTAATAAGATTATACTATTTTTAAGATGAATTTTAAATTTTTTTATGATAACTTATTGTTTTTCACTCTTTTACTGTCCCACCAATTACTAAACCTAACCAAAGAGTCCTCCGAGAAGAGTCCTCCGAGAAGAGGTGCAAACAACAATGATATATGACACTTTTAAGATTAGTGATAACAATGAAGGTCAAGGCCCCATAAAATATATGACACTTCTAAGATTAGTGATAACAATGAAGGTCAAGGGCCCCATAAAATATATGACACTTCTAAGATTAGTGATAACAATGAAGGTCAAGGGTCCCATAAAATCTAACGATGTCATATAGTCTCTTTGTATTCCTTCGTTGTCGATGCGATCTCCTCATGCTTTCTCATTGTCATCGATCGACAAGAAAGAAGAGGGGCAACTCACTATTATGACAAATGATGATAATGAGGGTTGACGATCATGTGTAAGACGAAGCGGAGCAAAGGTATGATTAGGGTTCAGGTATGATATTTTTAAAATAACAAAGATAAAATCATCTTTCTACGTAGGTAGGTAGAGGTATTTATATGAAATTTTTAAACTTAAGGTGCTCTAAAATTATGAAACTATAGAATTTTTATGAAAATTCATCCATATTTTTATTAACTTTATAAAAATATTGTAAACCTATAAAAAAATACAATAATCAACCTCTAAAAAAATCTCTGGTACTATCTGTTCTTTCATCTCCTTTTAGAGTCATCTGATGAGTGTTATTGCAAGCAATCTGAAAATAGATTCTGGTTGCCGAAAGGTTCTTCTAATGTTCTCTACGATTTGAAGCTGTGCTTCGGACATCATTGATGACCCAGTCAAAAGGTTGTATGATGATGGTGATGATGATGATGACGACGATGATGATGGCGGCCGACCGAGCTTCGTGTTGATTTGCTTTCCCCTTGTGTTTCGTGACAAACAAACCATTGAAACGATGCCATTCCCATCAATCACGCGGAGACAGAATCCAAACCCTGTCAAAGAAATCGAGAAATGGAAAGGGACAATGCAGAAATAAATGCGCTTATAATTTCTTCATACAATGATTACAGCTTTCAACAGATGGACGCTTATTTGGACTTCCCTGCGACTCTCATTTTTCGCATGCTTGCGCGCCGACGACGACACCATCACGCTTGCTCGACTCCAATCCACACACGTAAAAACCATGGAGACAAGCTCTGGCTTCCCGGTAAAATAATGATACCGTGTAATGTCGGGAAGGCATCATTCAGGAAGAGCTAATTCATCGAAACTGGAAATGACACACATATAATTGCCTCGGTCCATTGTGTGGCTTGTGTGAGCATATCAAGAAGCTACAGCAACAGCAGAGATGTCCCATGCGTCTTCTCCGTTGTTTCTGTCTCGCAGAAAGCTGGTAATCTTTGCTGAAAAGCATTGACTCTGACAACTTCTTCTGTGATGAAAGGTGGGGTTGCTCTTATCGTTTATGTCACATGACTGTTCTGGTACCTGTAAAACTTCAAGTCATATATGATATTTGACATACTATGTGGAATAGTATGTTGAGCTCTCAGATCTCCCATCAACTTCGACCTCCAAAATCTACACGTAAAGGTAAAGAGGCACACCTACATTACTGGTGAAGTCCCAATCAACCGAAACTTTTCAGCAGAGGTCGACTGTAACCACACAAGAAGTCGACAACAGTAGCCACAAAACGTTACTTCATTTGCAATCTCGACGTACGGGATTAATTTACAGATTTGCAATGACAAAGATCATGCTGCATGCGGCCTATGCCACCGAGTTGTTCGATCTAATGCCCGCCGCAGGATGATCACCGGAGGCTAATTTACTTTACCTTACCATCCTTGCCTCGGGTGGAGGGTGCAGCTTGTGGCCACCACCTTCGACAGCAACGCTAGCTTGGACGCAGGCTATATAGATTGTTAATTTCAACGGATGGGTGCCACCTTAGTCTTCGTCTTCGTCCGGATCTCTGGAAGCCATCCGGGTGAGCATCGTCCGGATCATCTGCATTGTTCTCATCTCCATCACGCTCTCCTCTCGGTTCTTCGAGTACGCCTCAAAGAACTCCGTGTTCTCCTTCTCCAGCTCAGCCCACACTGGCAATTTAAGCACACAACTGCTATCATAAATGCTAGATCAAAATCAATGACGGTCTTCGCATATGTTAGATCTTAATATACACAGAAGGTGATTTTAATATTAGAATTCTTTCTTTGTAAAAGGAGAAGGCATCTAGCGACTATCTCATCTCCTCGCTTATAATCTTCCTTCCTATATCTCCAACAACGGAGGTCTTCTTCTTATACGCGAGCATGCACGTAAAGCTATTACAAGATTTCTTGTCTATCCTAAGACATAAATCCCTAGGTTACCTCCAGAGTTCGAATGTTGATACGATCACTTACAAAAGAGCATCAAGCTTTTGTTACGTGTCATGGATTATGTGTCGTCGCTCTCTCTCTCTCTCTCTCTCTTTCTATATATATATATACATATATACCTGTGGCAGTGATGACAGGCTTGATGTTGGCGTGTTTGGAGAGGGCTTCCACGCACTCCTCCTTGCTCATGTGGAAGAGGAGGCATTTCTCGATCAGGTGCTGCACCTGCAAGCAACACCCATGAAGGAAGATTAAGATCAAGATCAAGATGTCTCACGGTAACCGGGGAAAGAGAAGAGCAAATTTGTAGGGGGTTCTTCTCCTCGTGGATCACCATGCGGATGTAGGAGGCCGATGATGAAGAAGAGGAGTCACCCATGACGAAGCTAAACCAGACGCGGTCGGCATACACACAAGCTACACGACCGGGGGGGGTGGGAGTAGTCCTTAAAAAGAAGGCGGCAGCACCGATGTGATCAGAGCCAGGCCGGCGACCACGTGGGCGACGAGCGACGATTGGTGCAGACGAGTTGCACTAAAGCCACGTCCGTCCCTCATGTGGGCCCTCCCTTCACGTGGCCCGTGGGCCCCACATTCCCAGATGCACCATAACACACGTACCCAAGCAGCCGCTGCCGTCCTCGGCTCTCCCGCTTGTGTGCGCAGATATATGGGCCCCGATGCTCGATGGTGGTGACGTTTTCAAGTGTGAATGGGTCGCGCTAAATGGCGTCGTTCTCACGATCCCGACATGGCCGAGTCTAAATTAGATTCCATGCACGTCGGATTCGAGAAAGAGATAGAAGCAAGCAGTAGACTCCGTGTCGTATGTTCCGCTCGACGCGCTCTGCGGTGGCTGTCCTATTTATGCCTCACTTTGAATTCAACTTTGGGGAAGTTGGGGTCCAACACCAGTGTTCTGTACGTTCGACTTGGGGCCCATCGGGACGTAGGCATAGTGAGGTTGCTACGGGTGAGGTATGGGTCATTCAGCAGCCCCAATAGCAGTAGCTTTGTCTCGGTGCGTCTGCGTTTGCAATCACGACTCTGGGTTGCGACACCCGGCAGCGTCCAAATCCGGCCACATGGTCTGGACCCCACTTGCCACTGTCGAGTAAGAGAGCTGCTCTAACGATGACCAGGCTGTGAGGCTTCACGTGTGGCATCCTGAACTTTGAACAACGTACTGACGTGGCTCATTGCTATTGGGTTGCGACCACAAAAGCGACTGATGATTGGGTGTGGCAAACGCCAAAGACAGACAAACGTCAAACCGGAGGCCAGATTTAAGGTTCCCCAGAGCTGATGGCATGCAGGAAGAGGATTCAGTCGCATGGAGAGGCCAAGGCGCAGGATTCTCCTTTTGTCGGAGTAATGGTCGGAGTGGATTCTTTTAGTCCTTTCTCTGTGTGCCGGAGTGGTCCTTCACCTTGGATTAAGGTCGAGAAGAGCACAGAGACGGACTTCGCAGGCGAAGTTTCCTGTGCCAATCGAACTCGCTTAGCTTTTGCTTGAACTCATGGATGTTGGGTCTAACAGGATCGAAATCGATCAGCACGAATCATGGAGTACAAAAGAACCCACACTGCCATCTTCCAATTGACTACATGTAACACTGCCACTATTGTGGATCACACTCGCTCAATCAGAACCATAGCTGGAATTAGATGGAGAGAACCACAAGTCAGCATGTATTATTATTTGGCGACCGGATTGATTTATATATCTCAAAATGAACTTGAAAGGGTCGACTGACTCGCCTTTATTGACTGTACGAGACGACGTGGCGGGCGCCTACGGGTCTTTCACTGATGGGGTGTTTAATGGGCCGAGATAAGCCCAAAACAAGCCCAGAGGTTCAACCCAGTTCAACATCATCCGGCCCGGTCCGATCTGCTGAGGGAATTAAAAAAAAAAGAAAATATGACTTTACATATCTATCTGTTAAAATATTTTTTGATTGGTCGATCTGAAAGGTGACTCAGATCTAACTATTAACTTTTTTTTTTTTGAATATGTCTCGAGAAATCAAAGTGAGAGTATTGAATATATTGAATATAAGTAGGATGATAGTACAAAATTACATCGGGATATGCTCGACAAAAATGATCTGATGTATAAGTAAGCAAATAGGATCCGGATGATTTAATTTAGTATTGAATTCAAATATGATTTAATCATATTTATATTGATTAGATAAGATGTTTATTGACGATATATCAATTGATTTTTACAATGTGAATGGTGGTAGTAAGAAACAATATTGGATATTCAAAATGACTACTTAAATTATCCAAATTTGACACGTAATTAAACAAGCCTCTTGCCTAATTAACACAGCAAATATCAACTCCTTCAACTATCATTCGTGTTTCTTCACCGATGCTAGCACCCAACATTATAGTTAAGTCATGCACTCTTTCAGGAGATATCTATCGAAAGATATAGTTACTACGAAATATCTTAGTATAAGAAATTAAAGTATCAAAAGAAGTTAAATATTCATTCTAATCTTCCATCGTTGGAAGCATGGAGGAGGAGCCAATTCCACATGAATTCTAACTTACGATGGAAACTCAAATTTGTCATAGGGCATTGATGCTCTCATGTGTCACACTTAACCATCTTAAAAGAATAGTTTGCCAAGTTCTCTCTCAAATCTATCATCTCTTTTAGTGATCTAACTAAGAAGTTTGAGCTCATTTTCATTAATCATAAGCTCCGTAAGAAGCCAACCACCTCTTTAATGACAATAAAACAAGGCCAAGATCATAAGGAAGAAAGGTTTCAAATCCTAATCCATCTATTCCTGATCAATGCCAACATTAGTGGCTTTTGTCTATCTTGATTCTTCTCATCAGTCATATCAAACCGTTGGCTCCTAAGGACACAAACCAACACCTCATGGTTGAATTCCTAATAATAAAAAATCCAATGAAGGAGGGCTAATATAACTAACTGTGCCAATCCGACATTGATGTCTATCGATCAAGTACTTAGCCTTACGAAAGGTAGAGATCAGTGACTCAACTCATTTCCCAAGAAAAAGATTGCACCAAACCATGAGGTGCCCTTCGACGATAACACATTTGAATTAACACAGTGCATCCTTCAACATCAGCATAGTCGAATCGATCTAAAGCGCTCCCTTCGATTCGATGATAACATAATCAAATCGACCAAAAGAGCCCTCTTCAATGATAGCATGATCAAATCAATCTAAAACACTCTCTTAGATGATAACATGATCAAATCGATCGAATACCCTTCCTTTAGTAATAGCATGGTTGAAACAACCCAAATTGTTCCATTCCACAATAATATGATCGAAATTGCTCAAATTGCTCCCTTCGACAACAATACGATATAATTGGTCCAAAGCTCTCATTTCGATGATAGGATAAATGAATCCTCCTCTTCAAGGTCGATGGTCAAATAAAAATTTTATCACGCATCGACTCTATTACACATGTTAAGACACGATGAAATAGGGCAAGTGATATGAGAATAATAATATAATAAAGACTATCGATACCTTATAATGTCACCCTCACCTTATAATAAAGGCGTTTAACTGTTTTTAGTATTAAACTATAACCTCAAACTTAACCGTCCAAAGTCTCACTATAAGATCCTCGAGCATATCTCAAGGGGGGCTCCTCTCTAATTACACTCTTTATATTCGACACTTAGATCGAACCCTCCAAGTCTCTTAGTAACATAAATACTATAGGAGAATTATCGAGCATGCTCTCGATGTAATTTTATAAATAAATTATCACATGAACATAAGGTAGAATCGGTTAACTAAGAAATGACATCCAGAAACCATAGCTTCGACACCATCTAAAATTTAGATTTAATATATACATTTTCGTTATATACACCGTAATTACTTGTCTAATAAAATCACATTAGCTACTATAAATAAATAAACAATAATTTATATACGCAAAATATATTTTAATTATATATATTGATCGGAGGAATACATATGCTGAATTTGTATTAAAAGAAAATAACTGAAAAATCAGTTGGGAGGGACGATTGCCTTCTTTTAAACGAGAAAAGGGATGTCGATTTCCAATCTGTCACTATAAAAGCTACTCACTGCTCCTCGTCTTCGATCGTTCCTCTTCCCCTTGATCGCCGTCTTCGACAAAGGTAATATCTCGGTCCCTCCGATCTCATAGATCTGTGCTTTCATTGATCGATCGGCGGCTGGGGTGTTCTTTTTGTTTCTGAAACTTAGGATCCGCGGTCTGGTGGTTCGCATCCGGTGATATCGACCCCGATCGGTGCATTCAAGGCGGTCTATCTTGTTTAACAGTGAAAGATGCTGTCTTTCAATCAAAAAGTTGAATTTTTAGGGTTTAATTTTGAGCTGGTCGCGAGCTGCACATTCGGAAACCGGATGCTATTTGTGCTTTATTCTTTTTGAATTGATCGCTGGTTTCATTCTATCGGCGTCAGTTCCTTCGATTATCGATTGATATGCTTATGCGGAGATCTGCTTTTTTGATGACTCTCTGATCCGTTTGCATTCTCCAGCAGGCTATTTTTGTAGGCTTTTATTAATCTGTTGTTGGATCTGACCTATTTATTGCATCCATTTATGCGGAACTTTGCTGTCTGCTTGGTGGAAAAGAAGAATGGGATCTTCTTTGTGGTTGCTGCTTATTCTGTTTCTTTGCCCCTTTTATTGTCGTTGTTTATGCCTTCGTGATACTATTTCGTTTCCGATGACCGGCACAGATAGTGAATGTAGTGTTGGTAGTACTATATTACATGCCGATTACTAATTATAACACAATCGGAGAATCAAAGCAAGGAATGACCTGGGTACATTGGTATTCTAGTATTTTGGTTTGCAGGCTTACATTGGACTTTTGACCTTGTCTTTTCATGGTTTAAGTGTTTGAATACTAAATAAACATTTATTCTATGAGGCTTTTTTAATCCTTTATTTGGGGAGCTAATCATAAACCGCTTGCAACATCGGTTGATCTTTCCACGGAGGGAAGACAACAGATTCCATGTTTTAGTGTCTCATTTAAGAGATAAACACAAATTATCCGGTCTTCCTGAAAGATGATACTTTTCAGTAGAGAGCTAACAAATTCTTCTAGATCCTTACTGGTCTTTCTAACTCACGTCGGGGCTTCCTGTTTGTAACTACTACGTAAGATGTTCCTGACCACTCTTCCTCATGAATATATGGCTATACGCACAATTTTTCACTCTTTAGTTGTTGTCCATGATTGATAATGAGATTGGTGACACTGTGTCTTATTTATTTTCATAATTTACATAATAAGAAAGTAAATCAGCAATTTGTTTATTGGTTCTTTAGTATTGCTTGATTATTTTACTTGTATCAATTGATAATGCCAATGTCACAATCCACATGATTGAAAATAATAGTGTTGGTGAGTTTTCGATGGTTGGTTCTTTATACAT